CTCTCTTTCTCTCTTTCTCTCTTTCTCTCTCTCTCTTTCTCTCTCTCCCTCCCTCCCTCCCTCCCTCCCAGGTCCATCCTGCTGAGACAAATACTGCTGATCTGTGGACTCTTCCCCAAAGATTGCATTGGCTAGCTGGTTTGAGAACCTTGGAATGCAGACAGGCTCTGCTGCTTTTTATTACATCCTCTTTTCCTTCCTCTTTTAGTAAAGGGTTATAAAATGGGGTGTGGTGTGGGCCAAGCCTTGACTTCCTCCAATTCACCATATCTGACTCCCTAGGAAATGTCAGCACTCATTTTTATTATAGACTACCAGTACTTAAATTGCACAAGTATGTTCAGAAGCAAAGAAGAACAAGCAGTGAGGTCTGAACTACTTAAAAGTGTAATATTTTTAATGATCATTCCCTCTCTGGGGCAGAGGTTACTTGGATTATTTTGAGAGAGGGCGGATGAAGAAGTGCTTACTACGTTGGGTTCGAGTATTCAGTAGCAATATTTTCCAACATAATTTCCATAATAATTTATGGCTCTGTGAAAGTTTCATGGATTGAACGGTGCATAACATAAAGGAAGGAGATTTTACAAATAAGAAGGGACAGAATTCCTTTGGGTAGGGTGTGGGGGAGGTAATAAGATTTCTGTTATAGATCTTACATGTAAGAAAACTTTGGATATTCTTAGACAAGATGTTCTTGCTGTCACTCTCTGGAAGCATGGAATAATACAAAGCATCGTTTTTCGCTTTCTTGAGAATCCATTTCTTAAAAATGTCAGCAATCATTTTAAAGAAGTAAGCAAGGATATCTTGAAAATATTGAGCATTGCTCGTTGAAACATTTTCAGCCCATTAGGCCATTTTCATTGCTCTGCTTAGTTCTTCTTTGCACCTCTCCATGCCAGTGATCATGGGTGGTGTGTGCTGCAATTAACTCTCTCCATATATTGCTGCATAATGCAAATATTAGAGTTGTAATGAACTCTGGAGGAGAAGGCTGTTTTGATCTGACACATGCTGTCATTGATCCCCACCCCCTTCAAAGACTACAGCTGTATTCCAGAGATGCTTCAACCCAAGAAAAGCCAGCACAGTGTCATGAAAGAGTGTTATTTTTCTCCACCCAGCTCTTTCTTAAAGGAAACTGTTGTTGGCAGAACAACACAAAACCATGTTTGCTCTAAGTGGTGTGCAAAACGTTGAATGGCTTCAAATTCAAAACACCCCACTTTCAAGTTTGAGACCATTCATTAGATTGCAGAATGCCCCCTTTCAGGATTGGAAGAGGCTGGTTTGGTGGGGGACTATATGGAGTTCAAAACATTTCCATAGTAATAATAAACACCTGCCTCAAATGTGAAACTGCAATTCTGAACTTTTGAAACAAATCTTTGGAAGTAAAAATGGGCCTTTCTAATTCAAATGGTTCAAATTCAGGATGTTTTTGGAATGCCTGACCTCTCTTACATCACCCTAATTGCAGGTCCATCTCCCATTTGCTGTGGTTGGCAGCACCGAAGAAGTGAAGATTGGCAATAAAATGGCCAAAGCCAGACAATATCCATGGGGAGTTGTCCAAGGTATGTTGATGGGAACAGATAAATCTTTAAAAGTTTTGTACCAGTGGTACAAAAACACTTAAATTAAGGTTGGCAAGTGGCAGCTATAAAAGCAATTTCTTTAATCAGCAGGAAACCAAAACAACAGACATTAAGGTTGTGCCTGAGATCTGGAGAATTTTATCTGATGCACACCAAGAATCTGTGTTGTTGTAGATTTCAGTAACAGGATATGGGGTTTCTAATTAGATTCTAATTAGATTTTTTTTGCTTTTGTTGTTAATGGAAGAGTTATTAATTAAGATGGACATAAATTTAGTAAAGTAATTAAGGTGGATCTTTAGTGCATTAATCATGATGGACATAAATCTAGTAAATATATTTCTGAATAATAGAAGAGACGGGCCAATCTCTTTAGCTCAACCGTGAACTTACATAATATCCTTAAGTCATCTCAACTGCTGTAAAGCAGAAGGGCTCTCCCATCTCACTGAGTTGTTGATTACTGGAACAATGGAAGTCAAACAATTTAAGGTCTTAGAAAAATCTTTCGGAGTGATGGAGAAATCATGGCAATAAATCTCCATTTTAAGGCTGATATTTTTAATGAAGAAAGTAGGGCTTTTGCGTTAAGAAAAGAAAGAGAAAACCAGGTTTACACCATAACTTTGATTTAAAATTCTACCTTTTTATGAATTTTATAGTTGAAAATGAAAACCACTGTGATTTTGTCAAGTTGCGTGAAATGCTGATCAGAGTGAACATGGAAGATCTGAGGGAGCAGACTCATAGCCGACATTATGAACTCTACCGCCGGTGCAAGCTGGAAGAGATGGGATTCAAAGACACAGATCCTGATAGTAAACCATTCAGGTAGGAAAGGAGCAGGTGAGCTTCCAAATTAAGGAAGAAAGAAGTTCAGTGCATTGCTAGACCAGGTGCAGAAGACCTTCGCATCTAAGGATTTAGTGACTAAGAGAATGCAAACCATCCCATTTTAGACTCTTTGCCTCTTCTAATGGCTCCCTGCATGGCCCTTGTCCTACTCTCATTGGCCATTTTAAGATAATTGTAATGACCCTGCTTTTAGGGCGGCAATGAGGTTTACTAGATAAATCACAAAGCAGCTGAAATGCTTAAAAGCACTGTAGAAAGCAGGATGCATATATTAAGTATATTTGCAATTTTACAATCTGGCTACATGAAGAGAGAAAATAGAATCTAATGCTTGGATGCTCTTACAAAGGCTAGAAAATGCAACTAATTAGTATTCATTTAGCCTTCCAGCCAGGGCTGAATGAATTTTGCACCATCCCGGATTGTTCCATGCAGCAATGGGATTCACAATGGGGGTGGAATTTTATATTCTAGGAAGTGAGGTTTTCTGTTGTAAATCTATCATTCCCCCACATCAATATTCTTTAAGCATATTTTCATGGCTACATTTTTGCATTTCTCCTTCTGGTACTGTTAAACAGCTTGGGATATTCTGTGCCAAATTCTACACTGAGAGTAAGTCGTGCTGATTACCTGCTCGTGTGTTTGTTCCCACTGAATACACAATCTGTTTCCACAATGCACATTTTAAATTTAATGGATTGTGTGAATAAATGAAAGGGTTCAAGAGGTACTATGAAAATTAGGGATAGACTTATCCTTTTAGATTTATAAACTGTTTTTTGAGTTAAGATTGGCTTCTCTGGCAGAGGCACTTTTCTAATACCTACTGTAGATTTCTTTATAGAGTGGTTATTTATTTATATATTTATGTATCAAATTTGTCACCATCCATCTCGTTAAAACCGATTCT